TTCAATTTAACACAGTTTCTTCGAGCTATAATTCTTATTATCGGTGCTTTAGGATTTCTTCTTTTCTATTCATGGAGAATGACTATGGTCTCTCATTCATTCTCCATCGCAGCACATCATATGAATTCTAGCTACTTTTTTCAGGTCACATTCATCACGTTCCCACTGATGATAATTTTGACTAAGTTCTACGGTGACTTTTATGATGTAAGTTCATCGCTTTTTGCTTCCTTCTTTTCTCCTTCAGAATCAGCCCCTCTTTTCCAGAGACTTTCGGAGTCCACACAAAACACGGTGGCAAAAGCGAATCAGATTGCTGCTGAAGTTCTGTCAACAATGCGAACAGTAAGGTGAATCACAGTAAATTGTATGTGTCCAGTGATTCACATGCTGACTTTCCAGGTCGTTTGCATGCGAAAAGCGAGAAGTGAATCGATTTTCCAATACCCTGAGCAATGTGTTGAAGTTCGATAAAAAGAGGTTCAAACAGTTTTTTGTCTTTTCTTCTTTTATATAAATTGAATCGGTTAAGATCGCTCGCATCTGCCGGTTACACATGGAGCTGCGACATCGCAGAAAGTATAACCATAGCCATAATTCTTTTCTACGGTGGACATCTCGTATTCTCAGGTAGCGGTTGCTTTCACGAAATTTTCGAAAAAGGCGTAAATAACCTGACAAGGTTGCTCACACAAACCTTAGCGACGGATATAGAATACTATCTTATAGTTAGGAATTTGCGAGAAATTTTGCGACTGCTGTTTGATGAAATCAAATGTAACGGACTATAGAAATAACAAATGAGATGAGGTAGAAAGGAAGGAGTCTCCACCACGCTCTCCTAACATCGCGTTTTATCCCCTTTTGAGTTGAGTTCCCGTGGTCATTGTAAGTGATTACAGCAGCAGATGAACCACCCAAATTATGTACTAAAGCTGACAAACTGAGGTTTGAAAAATATGTCAGTTCTCACAAGTAAATAATTGCATTTTGTCACTAATTCACTTCAGTTATAAAGAAATCGCGACATTTTCGGAGACATGGGCGGGAAGGGGTGAGGATTTTCGTAGCTTTTTTTTT